AATTAGTTTACTCTGAGCAAGAAGGGGGATTTTCTTTGCTAAGGGATAAAGGAACTTAAGTTGTGCGAGATCACACAACTTATTAGCAAATAGCAATATTAGCCTTTATCGACTACTTCCATCTATCCTGCAATAAATTAAATAAACTTTAAAAATAGTAATATACATTTCTATTGCACTTTTCATTCTAGGGTGCTTCAGAGACTGATAAATAAACCATTTTTGAAAAGGAACCATTTGTCTTTTGGAGAGTGACAGCCATGCAGGAAACTAGTATGCATATTTTTACAAAAAGGATCCTTGCCAGGATTTATCAAAATAGGTGGCCTAAGTTAGGCCCACAAATCTATATTTAATTACTTAAAGAAATGGCCCAATTTCTCAAAAATGCAAAGCATTCTGTGGTAGGTTGCCAGATGACTTAACAAAAAATACCGAACACTTTCCTCCTCCTTGTCCTCCCTCCCCCACAAAAACACACACACACAGAAATTCTCTTGAGCAGCCAAAAAAAAAAAAAAAAAAAACTGATCGGGGCCAAAAAACAGTCGCATTCCCTCTAATTCCTGGGACCAGTGTAATAAAAAAGGTGCTGGTATTCCAGGGGAAAAGTTGTTAAACAAAAAAACCCCACACCCAGTTTACCCTTTTAAGAGCACAGCAGGGATTGCCCTTTTTAAGGCAGCAATTTTGAAGTCTGCCTGAGACACTCCATACTCCCCACCTCAGCCAGCCTGAGCTGTGTGTGTTCCAGCAGATGCCCAAGCCAGGAAAAACAGAAAATACTGGACACGTCTGGTATTTTCTGATTTTTTTTTATTATTTTTTATTTTATTATTTTTTATTTTTTTTAAACCAGACGGAAGGCCCAAATACCGGGCAGTCCGGTTCAATACTGGACACCTGGTAACCATATTCTGTGGCCCTCTGATTTTAAAAAAGGAGGTGCTGGATGTTCAGCACTTATTTAAGTGCTTGAATATGGATTATGGGCACCTCGCTGAAAGCTTTGGCCTTCACATCCACATAAAGCAGACAAGATTTTAGCTTTTATGGAATTAAAGTTCTCCACACAATACATGCATGTAACTCCACTTATCACCTTGTGGTAACTTGTGATTTCAAGTAGACTAGATTCTTGAGTGTTCTAAACAGTGGTTCAAGTAAACTGGTGTGGGAGAGAGAGGGCCCACCAAGTGGGGAGGGGGAGTGTGTGACCTCCCCATGTGATTCTGCCCTATCCCCAGCTCGAGACCCTCTTCACCTCCCTTCCCCATGCCACCTTAGCTGGGAGGAGGAAGAGCTAGAGATATTACAGCAGTTGGAAGAGCTGCTGAAAGTTCTACTTTCCCCAATGCCCCTCTACCACAACCCACTCCACAGAGCTGTGGGTCTGTGTACAGGGGAGAGGGGCAGGGCTGGGAGTTCTGCTCCCTTCTCTGTTGAGAGAAGCAGAATGCCAGCAGCTCCCAGCCCTACCTCCCTTGCCCTGTATAGAGATGCAGCAGCCAGTGGAAGGGCTGGGGATGGCCAAAAAGCAGGCTTTCTGGTATGCCATACTGGCTAAAAATAACCCGTCAATATGGTGTACCAGACTGTACTGGCTAACTTGCACCTCTAGTTTTAAAGTCTGCAGCTAGAGATTGTGCCTGCAGAACTGTTATTGGCAGAGGAAATCATCTGCCACATCTTGATCCAGCTGCTCCTTCCATTTTTGGTGACCGCAGATGCAGAGGGCATGTTAGGGGCATTGCAAGGGAAAGGCAGACCATGAGTAGTACAGAGAGGGGGGCAAAGCAGAGCAGAGCCCTCTTGTAGCTTTATTTTGTAGTAGGGCTAGATAACCAGGTGGGGGGGAGGGAAAGGCGGGGAGTTCAGGAAGTCACCCATTCCCTGCAAGATCTCTCTCCATTATATCTGAGAAGAGCTGAGATATAGTAGAGAATCAAACACAAGGTATTTTAAACCTGCTGCTTGTAACACAAAAATATGTGCATTTTATATCTGCTTATTACTAGCTTGCATGTTTACTTTGTTTTGAAAAATAACAGCAATTTTTTTTATATATATATATATATAAATAAAAACAATTCTGATAGATCTCTGTATCTTATTATAGACTAAGGGGGAAAAAGTTGTATATTTCATGAGACTTAGCCAAATCTCTCATCTTTAAATAATATTTTCTTCAGACCAATCAGGAAATTTGTTCAGGATCTTAATGTTATGTCTGTTTTATTACACCATGTCTAATGTATAACCTGTTAAGATTTCAGAATATTGCCAGCCAGACTTATGTCAACATAAACACAAAAATTACTAAAATAATAGCTTATTTGTTGTTTTTTAAAACAATAGTGTAACATGAGTTTTCTTCCTTGCCCCCAAAGAGCTTATAAAGTGACATTCAAGAAGGGAAAGGCTAGGAGGTAAAACAGATGAGTGGCTGACACATGTACTGATGCACAGAAGTGTCATTAAAATAAATTAAGCATCTCAAAGGGAAGTCTTATTTAAAAGTGTGTATCCTTCCCCCTCCTCTTCCCCCTCTTCCCCAATATTTTCACCACTCCAATTATACCATGCAGGCCTGCCAATGGAGGGTGGAGTGATGGGAGGAGGCATTTGTCCCCCGGCCTGGAGCTCCTGGCTGTCACCGCTACTACAGTGGTGGTGGCCAGGAGCTCTGGGACCTTTTAAATTGCCACAGGAGCACCAGAGCACCACTCCATGTGGCTCTTACGGCTCTTGTGGGGGCCATGCCACAGTCTGGGCTGAGCGCGGTTGGCCCTGCCCCTTCTGCCCTCAGCCCCAACCCTTCTGGAGGTGCAGAGCCAGCCCCCCCTCCCCCTTTACCTTGCCCTGGGGCCTGCAGTAGCTGTTGACTCTGCTTATACCATGATATTCTATTAGATATCAGTTGGAGCTCTCTAGTTTTGTCGAGCTGAAAGAGTTCCCAAACTCATTCTCTTCCCTCTGGTGAGATCAGAAGCCTATTATGATAGGCACATGCTTGATTTTTTTTTTTCACATTCAAGTTTATATATATATATATATTTTTTTATTCTTCACCACATGCTCAGTTATCCTAGAAAAAGGACCTGTAATATTTCAGTTTCCTTTAGACAGAACTTGAAACACCTCTCTTGATAGGAGGATAGTGCAGTAGTTTTACACACTCACTCAGGCATCTATCTGCCTCCAGCTTTTACATTCTCAACACAGATCATGTTTGGTTACCATTTAACAATCACACTGATTTCTTTACTAAGGCTACGTCTAGACTGCAAGCCTCTTTTGAAAAAGAGCGTCTAGACTACAACCAGTAACTTCGAAAAAGCAAGGCAATCTGGATGCTCTCTTTCAAAAAAGCCCTGTCTGCGGTTAAGAATGCCTTTTTTCGAAAGTGCTCTTTCGAAAAAAGGTGTTCTTCCTCGTAAAATTAGGTTTATCTGCTGCGTTCTTTCGGTTTATTTTCAAAAGAATGCGGCAGCAGTCTAGACGCAGGGGAAGTTTATGTTTTTTTTTTTAAAAAGGCCACTTTTTCGAAAAAACCCTGTAGTATAGACACACCCTAAGTCAGCACATCTCTGCTTCTCATTAATACAGATGATGGAGGGACAGATGAAGTGGGCCTGAAGCCAGACCTGAAACTGTCATATTTATGTTTCTGCATCAAAACACTGATGAAATTCTTCATTTTGGGGACCATGTGGAGGATGAAGTCCAAATGGACCTAAGTCCATCTATGTTTACTACATTTTGGTGTAGAGAGACTTAAATAGTTAAATCTTACTTAAAATGTAGGACTTACCTTCAGTGCCAGTTATAGGAAACAGAAATTATTTGTTAGCAAACGAAGTTACTATTGGAAATAATGACTGTAGTTATGGAAACCCCAAAGAGTAGAGAACTGCCAAAATATGTGTGGGGTGTGAGTGTGAGCAACTGAAATTTTTTATAAAATAGCTTTATTAGTGAAATTTCTCAAACATCATAAAGCATGAGCATTTGTGGTAAATACCTTACATTTATATGAATACTACTAAAATATCCAAGTTATCAAAAGGAAGAGTGTGATTAGGGTGATGATCATAATGTATGATCCAAATTAATCACACACTGAGTGCTTGAACGTTTCAAGGCAACTTTTTACTGTTTTTAGCCTTAAGTGTTAGTGATGCAAAGCCAGGGCATTATACAAAACACAGACTTAGATAAACACTTTGACCCACACACTAGTCAACACTATTCAAGTTTTCAATCAGATAAAAAGGAGAAGGAGCCCTGCTGACCCAGCATTAGCAGGGCAGCACCATAATGGAACTGGAAGCAGCAAT